ATTCAACACCAAAATAAAAATCCTGAAAATCAAAGAAGAGATTAATAAAATTGAAAGTTAGAAAAAAACTGAACTAATAAATAAAACTAGGACCTGGTTTTATGGAAAAAAACACAATAAAATAAACAAACCATTGGTTAATTTGATTATAAAAAGAAAACCAATTACCAGCATCAAAAATGAAAAGAATGAAAATGAAGTTAAAGCAATTATTAGTAGTTACTTTGCCTAATTATATGCCAATAACACTGACAATATAAGTGCAAAAGATGAATATTTACAGCAATATAAATTGCCCAGATTAACAGAAGAGGAACTAGAATACTTAAATAATCCTATCTAAGAAAAAGAAATTGAACAAGCCATAAATGAGCTTGCTAAGGAAAAAATCACCGGCACCACATAGATTTACAGGTAAGTTCTACCAAACATTTAAAAAAACAATTAATTCCAGTACTATGTAAACTATTTAAAAAGCCAAGTAAAGGAGTCCTATAAAATTCCTCCTATGACACAGATATGATTTTGATACCTAAACCATGAAGAGCAAAACACAGGGAAAGAAAACCATAGACCAGTTTACTAAATGAATATTGATGCACAAATTTTAGATAAAATATTAGCAAGGAAATTACAATAATGTATCACAAAGATCATATACTAGGACCAGGTGGGATTTATAGGAGGGATGCAGGCTGGTTCAATATTAGGAAGACTATAAGTATAATTAACCATATCAATAAAAAACAACAAAAATCTTATTGCATTAATAGGTCAGAAAAAGATTTTGTCAAAATAAACACCCATTCCTATTAAAAAACACCAGAAAGCACAGAAATAAATGGAGTCCCTCTTAAAATGATAAATAGAATCTATCTAAAACTAAGAGCAAGCTAAGCTAGACGCCTTCCTAATGAGATTAGAGGTGAAACAAGGAAACCCATTGTCATCACTATTATTCAATATTGTATTAGAAATGCTAGAGGAACTCAAAAATTTAAAAAGTGAATGTTAAGATTAAGTATATATATGTACATATGCCTGTATGTGTGTGTGTGTGTGTGTGTGTGTGTGGTGTGTGTGTGTGTGTATAAAGATGGGTCTTTGTTTCACAGAGAAACTTTGGGTCATTGAAATAGCTGTATTGCATGATTTCCCAAATGTAATCCAGAGCTTGCTGTTTAATTCTCAATGCAATCAATATTCCACCTTTAATGTTTGTCCAAGATATTTATATTGACAAATCCATTCAATAGGCTGCACATCCCACTGGTGGATAAAATGCTGGCCTTGTAGTCAAAAGAACCTGAGCTCAAATGCTGCCGAAGATACTTACTAGTTGTATGGCCTTGGGCAAATGATGACCCTCTCAGACTCAGTTTTCTCATCAGTAAAATGGGGATAACAGTAGCACCTACCTTTCAGGGCAGTTATAAGAATCAAATAAGACAGTATTTGTGAAGAAGTGCTTTATAATTGCTATCTATTATTATCTGGAAATGGGTATTTTTCATCTTGGTTTTTCTCATGTAGATTGCTATGCTGAACTCTTTTGAGTTGTTCTGAATCTCATTTAGGAAGCTCTATAACATTGTAGGGCTTGAAATCAGCATAACACTATCTGTAAAAGGGAATTAATGTATTGAGGACTTCATCATCCATATGAAATGCCTCTTTTATTGGACTCTGAACTGGTTATCCTTCATGACTGCAGAAAATATATTTGGTTAGTATATATCTTTTAATGAGGATGATCAAAGAAATTTTGCATCTATTAAGAACATTGACATATGCACAGCTGACGCCTTATTGAAGGAGAACCTTTGTGCCTACATTTTGTTCTGCTAAATCAAGTGATTTTTTAGAGTTAACCAATAAAATTTGTTGTGCTTTTTAACCCTTAAAGGAAGATGTTTTATGCTGTAGAATGTCATTTGCAAAAATTTGCCTATTCTCTTCAAATTTTAGTAAGAATGTTCTCCATGTATGTTGATCATTTTCAGAGGAACTCAAAAATTTAAAAAGTGAATGTTAAGATTAAGTTATATATATGTATATATGTACATATGCATGTGTGTGTGTATAAAGATGGGTCTTTGTTTCACAGAGAAACTTTGGTTCATTGAAATAGCTGTGCTGCATGATTTTTCTTTTTACAGAGGTGAGCAACTAGGTATATTAGATAATAGTTATTGATATCCTTTTGATTGATTTCTTAGGTGGTAGTACCACCTGTGATTTTTTTCTAGGTGTTTGACATCTTTGTCTTTTTCAGATGTTGTGAATTGATTTCTTGATACTCTCAAAATGTATCACTTCCAGCAGAGAACTCCCCTGTTTATACTTCACAGAATCACAGAATTTGAGAGCTAGATGGAACCTCAGCTACCCTTCCTGTCTTCATTTTCTGTAAAGCCATTATTGCTTTATCATATAGCACATAGGGATCTGAAATGATACAGTATAAATTGATAAAGAAAACAGTTTGTTACAGGGATATTGACAGATCTCTCATTTTTTCTTTTTTTCCTTTGCTTTTAGGTTCACCCTTAGATAATCTTGGTTCGATTTGCCTTAAATGGATTTCTGCCTTAAATGCATGACAAAGTGTCTTTAAATATATTTTTCCCTCCACTGCTTCTCAATGTTTTTATAAGGCCACATTGCTCATAAATCTTCAGCCATCATATTAGTTGAGGTTTCATAAATTAGTTTATATTCTAAACTGGTGTTGCAGTTGGCTTTCAAATCTCTCTGTTTGGCAAGGAAATCAACAGTTTATTGGCTAAAAAGGTTTCAAGGCTTCTTTGGCATTGTTGTGTTGATTGCTTCATGCCAGTTAAACTTTTGTAAGAAAGTTTTGTAATACTCCTTGATGTCCTAAGTTCCTTTATTCATTATAATTCAGTATTATTAGTTTAATAGGTCATATTATGCACAATTATTCTCATCTGTATCTTTTTTTTCTAGTTTGATTTTGATCTTGAGTTTAACAAGTTGTTGGTCTGATTGCACCCATATTGTTGGGTTTGCCTACATTTGTTGTTTCCTCCTTGTTGAGTCGGTTCCCTTTTGTCTTTGTTTTTGATGCTGTTTGATGTTCACCTGACTCTCTTCTTGAAGAAAGTATTCTTCATATAATAAAAAAAAGATGTGATGTTCTATTTTGTATAGTCTATCATTCTTTGGCTATTTTGTTTCTTGATCCCAACCTGCCTTCCTCTATGTCCACTTCTGGATTGAAGTCACCAAACAGACAATGCTTTCATTTGGAAGACTTTTATCAAGTTCTCTGTAGAACTTTTCTACCTCCTTATCCTATTATTTTCAACAAATATTCGTGCAAAAACTATACTTATCTTCATGGTGATCTTTTTACTAATGTTCACTGCAAATATAAGATGACCAAGTATGTCCCCTAAAATGCTCTTTCTTTTTTTCTTTGGACACAGAAAGAAACCAACATATCTACCTCCTTTATTTGTCTCTCCAAATAGAAACTGTGAGCTATCCTATTTTTCTGTGTCTTTCTTACCTCCTCTGGGTTCCTTAGTAGTGCAAAGAATAACCGCATTCTGAAACCATACATCTCATGCCTGCAGTAGTATTTCAATTAGAAAAGGCAGTCTGACAGAATTCTGAGCTTTGAGTCAGGAAGATCTAAGCTCAAATCTTTCTTCAGATATTTATTAGATATATGACCCTGGGTAAACTATTTAGCTTTCTTCAGTCCTAATTTCCTCAGCTATGAAATGGGGGAGTTGACCTAGATCGTCTGTAGGGTTGTTCTAGCTCAAAATTTATGATCCAATGACAATGATCTCACATTTAGAGTATCAAAATTTAAGTTACTGTTTTTTCATGGCCTTAAAACTACCTTTATCATAACACCCCCTAGCTTGTTTGTTTTAATGTTCCCACTGTTCCTGCCCAAATGGAAAGGGGCTGCTCAAGAATGAAAGTCATTCTGTATTTCTCATTTCAAGACTTGTCATGAATATCTCTGTCTTTAGCAAGGATGGCCTTTGGATAGTAGACACTGTCCAGGAACCATACAAGACATCTTTCCCTCAGGATAGGCCCTGTTAGTACTTTCACTCTTCTGGCATTCTCTTCAAGCACCCATGGTCACCTTTGGGTCACAAAGAAGCATCAGAGAGTAGCCACTAAAATTCCAGAAACCTAGTTAGGCTGTAAGTAGCAAGAGACTCCTCTGTTCTTCTGCCTTTAGACTCGGAAAGTGAGTTTTATAATGCATAGTATCTCTTATTTTATCACCATCATGATGTAAGCTTCTTGACGACAGTAATTCATCCTTCCTTCCTTCCTTTCCTCCTTCTCCTTTCCTCCCTCCCTTCCTTCCTTTGTCCCTGGTCTATAATAAATACTTGTCAAATTAAATTATTGGGCCTCCAAGGCTGATACTACAGAACTGTAATTAATTTTGTTCAGATACTATAATTTGGCAACATCTCATGCATTTACGAATTGCCTGATATTAGACAGGCAAGATCTTGCCTCGAATTTCCAGGGAGGCAGGAGCAATACAGAATCTGTAGCAGCAAGACTGGCATAGTAGCATCACGGGATTTGAGACAAACAAAGTTGAGTGTCACCAGGCGAACGAAATTGCTGATAAGAAGGTAATTTTTGTCACCCTTCCTTTTCCTTTCTGGCTCAGTACCTCCCCTCGCCCTTGCCAGCAGAGCGCCTTGGCACGCGGAGCACTTGGCTGGGTGGAGTAACAATGCACGCACTGACCTGAAGACTAACAGCTGGGTGAGAGGTGGGGCGAGAGGAAACTGAGGTTCTCCCAGGGAGAAGCTGCCGCCTCGCAGACCCCCTATACCTGCAGTCTTTCCGCTCTTTCCTCCTCCCTTCTCCCCACTCTCAGTTCTTAGCAGTAGGCACCAAGAGAGAATCACCCCCCTCCCCCGCCCCCACTCCCAAGAGAGCTCCAGAAGGCAAGGGGATCCGCGACTCCACACTCCGCTCTAGTCTTGGGGAAGTCCTGAGTAGGGGAGGAGCTGCAGAGCGGCTCCTGGGAAAGTTGGCCTGGGAGCAGCTGCGCTCTCAGTTGTGCTGGTGCTACTACTGGGGCCCGGGCTTGGGCCGATCCTCTTCCAATTAGCTCAGGGGTCTTCGGAGTTTGAGAAGGGTAGTGCGCCTTTGGTCTGCGGAATACCACTCCAAGGGGGTAACCGACCAGCAGGAGCTTCTGATTGGAAGCTCAGCTACAGAAGCGCTTTTGTCCTGACAGGACCTTTTCTCAAGTGACAGAACTAGTCAGGCCAGCCAAACTCGCAGGCAGTCCCAGCAGGTGTCTCCAGATCTTCCCCCAGACTCTCTGCCCAGGGACAGGGGGAGGGGGCGGGATCGGCAACGAGCCCCAGTGGGTGGCTGCCGCCTGCAGGGGCTGCTGAGCCTCCTGGGACGGAACAGGACCGAACCGAGGCGGGATGGAGCCAGACAATCAACCAGAGATCTCCCGGCTCCGCTCCCTCTTCTTCGCTTGCGATGCGAATCGCTCTGGGCGCATCGAACGCGAAGAGTTCAGCGCCTTGTGTGCCGAGCTGAAGGTCCGGCCCGAAGAGGCTGAAGCGATCTTCCAGCGGTTGGACGCCGACTGCGACGGGGCGATCACCTTTCAGGAGTTCGCCCGGGGCTTCCAAGGGGCCAGCCGGCGGCGGCGACGGCGGCGGAGCTGGGGCGAGCGGCCACCGCAGCTGGAGCTGGCACAGGGTGCAGTTGCGGTGGAGACAGATGAGGAAGGAGAGGAGGGAGAGGCAACGGCTTTGGCTGCTCCGTGGGGCATGAAGAGCTTGGGCCAAGCGTGGCAAGACTTCGAAGTCCGGCTCGGGGAGGAAGCCAAGTTCATCCCTAGGTAAGTAAAGAACGGGGGCAGGGAAAGAGTTAACTGTCTTTTTAAATTTTTTTTCCTTCTGGGTTTCCTTCTTTCAGTCTTTTCTTCTCCCCAGAGGTGTCAGGTGGAACGCTACCTTTTTCCTCTAAAAGTTTCATCACTCTCCCCCGTCTCTTTCTATTTCAGTCTTTCAAAGTCATTCGGTAGAACTGAGCCGAGAAAGCAAGTTCAGAGAGTAAGAGTTGTGTATGAGAATGTCTGACCTTTTGACTAGGATGCATTGCTAATTACACTGAAGGGAGAAATGAGCTTTAATAACTCATCTTCACATTGCCCTTTAAGGTTACGCAGCACATTCCCACACTGCTAGGTAGTTAGTGGAAGGTTTACTCCTATTCACTGAGGAGGGAGATAAGTGCTCAGGGAGGTTGTAAATTTACCGTCAGACAGCTGAGTGTGGAAGCTGCGCCTGTAAATCAGGTGTTCTAATTTCAAGATCAGTGATTTTACCACTCCTTTAAACTCAGTGAAATCAGTAATCCCCCGCCCCGCGCGCCTTTCCCATACTCTGTGGTGTTTCCCCCCCTCATTTTAAAGCACTCTGTTGACTATGACCGAGATAGTTATAGCTATCTAATCTTTTTACTCTTCACTTTTGTTTATTTATTTTTTGGCTGGCCCATTCCTTAGGAAATTTGAGTGTTCTCTAACTGCACAATATTGCCCCTTTGGCTTCCATTTTCAGAATTAAATTTCTCTTCCAAGGTTTTGCGAGATGTCTCCATTAATTCTTAATTTCTGAAATGCAAACTTTTCTGCTTTGTTGTTTGGATGTTTGATGAGATGGAGTTAAGCCCTTTCTCTCCTTAATTGTGGAGTAGAAAAGGCAGCATTTTGGTTGGTTAAATGCTCGTCTCCCTCCCTAAAGATGTATCACATGACACATTGTGTTCTTTCAGACCCGTGAAAGGAAACTACACCTGAGAAGAAACCAGGCAAGGAATGAATGAGTGGGCTCTCTCTGGTGAGCCAAGTTCCAGGGCTCAGTCTTGCCTTTAGGGAAAACCCCATTTCCTTCTTCCTCTTCCTTCTCCTGCTAGATCCAATGTGGCTCTCACTGTAACATCTTAAGAAATGATTTACTACAGTGTCAAAGGAATTAGGCAGAGAGAGTGAAGAAGCTTAGGAAGAAACTTCTGTTATTTTAAAAATTTAATCCTTCTCTGAAAAGCAGGCAGGTGGACTACAGCTAGATGACCTCTAAGGTCCTTTCCAGCTTGAAGTCCTGGTGATCTTGCAAAACAATTGGGATACAATTGGGATTGACTTTAAAATTCTGAACCCTGAAACACTCTAGCTTGCCTAGGTTGATAGGTGATGTATCCCAAGGTGCTTTATCTTGCTGTTAAAATAATATGAGGGCTTACCTCTCTTCTCTTTGGATTGTTTCATCTCTTTCTTAGCTTGACCCCGGCTAGGTGAGAAAAACAATGGTTAAAAAAAAAAGGAACAGATCCTAACATTAACAGGGTGAACTCTTATCACATCTGTAAATCATTTAAGAAAATCAATGTATGAAAATAAGTAAAAAGCTACAAGCTTCTAAATGAGTTTTCTCTATTCAAATTTGTCAAGTCTTTTTAAATTAATAAATGATTAACGCTTAAGTGTCTATGTAAGAAAATAGATAATTATTTGGTTTCAAAGTGGCAGGCTAGCAGTCCTTATTAATGGTAATTTGTTGTACCTCAGAAATTGTGCCTTTCCACAAACTTCAAACCTTATTAACTTTAATGGGCTCCAATGTCACCTGCCTGAGTTTGTCTTCTAAGCACCACCCCTTTCAGACCTGAGATTAACAAGTACAATATTTGCCTTCCTATACTTGTTCAAGTGGAAAAGAACTGAATTATTTCATCTGATTGTAACCATGGCAGCCACCAGTTGTATTTGGTAAATTGGAAACCTAATTCGCTTCCTGGTACTTTCTGTCTTCTTACCAAACCTGAAAATGAAACAGCACTTCCTGAAAAAATCCTTTTTAGTTCTTGGTAACATGAGCTAAATTAGGTGTAAGAGGAATTGATTTCTGTAGTAGTCAGCCAGACAATAAATACTTATTAAGTGCCTATTATGTACCAAGTACTGTGCTAAGTGCTGGCAGAAGCGTCTTAATGAATTAAGAAATGGAGGATTTCTATTCCTACAGAACTGTGTATTGAGGTGCAAAATTTTATTCATTTGAATTAAATGAGCTTAATTCTGTTCGCCATATTTGTGACATAAAAATTTATATTACAAAATTTCAGAAGGACAAAAATGATCTAATATAGCACTTGTGTTAGAACAAGTTTTAATCTACTTACCAATACCAAAATAACGATCTGTAAATCTTTCTGTACTTAATTTTGTCAGGTTTCCTTTTATCTGTAAAACGGGAATAGCAATATAATGTTAACCATTGAGAGAGAGAAATTTAACGTATAATGTTTTGCCTTTGAAGATGCACATTAGAAAAAAAATATAGTTATTCCAGAATTGACAAAGTATAGTTAACATGACATGATGGTTTATGGATTTTTTTTAAGTATCAACTTCGCCCACATATGGTACCATGAATTTAAGGTAAAGCTTGAATAATATATGGTGGAAAGAAAAGTAGTACACTGTGATAATATTAATAGAGTAAAATGATATGTAAATATTGCAAATCTTCCCATATTATTAAAAATAACAAATACTGAATATTACACCAGGCACAAAGATTGATATTTGAGATTTGGTTTCTGACTTCAGGGATCTTAATAACTCATATTTCTATAGCTTTTTGTAATTTAAAAAGGACTTTCCTCAATTCAGTGAGGTAGGTTAATGTGAGCTTTATTTTCTCCATTTTATAATAGGAGAAGTGAGACCCTAAGGTTTAAATTGTTTGCCCAGAGTCTGACAAATAAGTGGCAGTGCCATGATTGTAAGCCTAGGACTTTTTCCATTATACCATGTTGCCTGTCATGCAATATTGTAATACTTTACATTTTATGGTTATAGAATGTTTTAACATAGTGTCTTATTTAATTATCTCCACATAGGACAAGTGTATTGAATTGTAAACTCAAGGACTGTGTGTCATCTAAATTTATCATACAGTTAAGCACACAATGAGCAATTATTACAGGGTTGTTGAATGCCTGAATGACTCTCCCCCCCCTTTTTGATAGATAAGAAAACTGAGGATAGGAGGGGTTAAGTGAATGTCCAAGGATCATAGTAAGAGAAACAGCCAGGACTTGGACCCACACTTCCATTGTAGTATGGATATGTTTTCTTTCTTTCTGTTTTACAGTTTGCAAAGTGAAAAAGAAATACTTTGCCAAAAGGAAGTGGCAAGGGTGGTTTGGTTTACCTTAAGTCTCTATGGCAGAGGATGATTTCCTGAAACAAACTAGTTCTTTCCTTTTTTCGTATCAATGACTTTCCATATAGCAAATGTTTTGTGAGAGACATTATGAAAGGAAATTTTAAGAGTCATAGTCTTAAATAGAAGAGGTTGTTTGTGCCTTGAGGGCTTAAGCAAAACATGTGTGTCACTTCAGCATTGAATCTTCATTCAATAGCCTCTTAGGCCTCTCTCTGCCCTTCCTCCACTCAGTGATGTTAAAATTAAGTCCTATCAGAATGGGTTCATTCAGTATCATTTTTGTATTCATTTAGGCAGTAAGGTGGTTCAGTGCTTAGAGTGCTGGACCTCCAAATCCAGCCTCAGACACTTATTAGCTGTATAACCCTGAGCAAGCCTAGTAACTCCTTTGTGCCTTAGTTTCCTCATTTGTAAAATGAAGATAATGTAGAGCATCTATCTTCCAGAGTTGTTTCAAGGATAAAATGAGATAATTTTATAAAGCATTTTGCAAACCTTAAAGCACTATGTAAATACTGTTATAATCTCTATTATTCTTATTCTTTTTATTAGTTATTAATGCCTGCTAAAGGCTATCAGATAAACATGGTATGTGGTCTGCCTTCAAGGGACTTTCAGTACTATAAAATGAGATACACAGAAATATGCATGTATAAGATGGAATGTGATAATTACGTAAGAGGTACAAAGTCTGTGGTGTCTTATGGCATCTCAGAGGAGGAAGCAATCACTTTTGGGTGGACCTTAAGGGACTTGTAAAATTTTATTAGGCAGGGATTGGGGGTGAGGCAAGGGCTTTTCCCAGTAGCGGTAAAAGCCATGGAAAGACATAGAGAAGTATAGGACATGTTGAGGGCTTGATGAATGGTCAAGTTTGTCTAGAACATGGAGGCTCCAAGAGAGGAAGGAGAATAAGATAAGGTAGTTTAAGATGAGAAGGGTTTTAAAGCCCACATCCCTTGAGGTTAAATTGATCTAGTTAGCAGTGGGGAGCTATTGAAGGTTATCATATGAGGAGTAGCATCAACATGGAAGAATATCTCGAAGGTTAATTTGATAGTGGGGTTTCAGTTAATCTGAAAGCCAGAGATGAGAAGTAGGAAGACTAATGAGAACTTTGTCTGGAAAAAGAGAAAAAAGAGACCTGAAAAATAGTGGTAGAAGGAAATGGGAGGAGAATGGAATTGAAAGAACTTTTGAAGGTAGAATCAACAGGACTTGGAATTTGTTATAATGGGGGTGGGGGAAGAGAGAGAAAGGTAAGTGTGGAGGTAGATAGGTTTGAGTTCCAGAGCTGCTACTTAGGCAATGCAATTTTGGATAAGCCACTTCTACTCTGAGCCCTAGTTGCTTGAGAAAGTGCTTTGTAAGCCTTAAAGTGTGATATAAATATGAGCTGCCATTATTATGTGTACCTGTAAAATGGGAGCAATAAAGCTTTTGTAGTATTTACCACAGAATTTATTTTAGAATTATAGCATGCTTTAGAAATACTAAGACACTGTGTTATTGGTAACTGACTAGATATGGGGGATGAACAGAGTCATTAAAACTGACTCTAAGATTGTGTCTGACAGAGAGAATGTATTGTCATGGACAGAAA